CTGGGTGCCATGGGACTGGAACTGGCTCGGCAGCTCCTCACAGCAACAAGAGGACCACGTGACGCCCTGGTGGAGCAGTGGGCTAAGCAGCACCCGGCTGCTAACTGGAAGGTCAGCGGTTTGAAACCACCACCGCTCTGAGGGAGAAGGAAGGGGCTTTCTGCTCCGGTCGAGAGTTGCAGGCTCAGGAACCACAGGGGCAGTTCTCCCGGTCCTGTGGGCATCGACTCCCTGGCGGTGAGTTTGGTGCTCAGAGCCCTGAGCAGAAGCAAATCGCACATGCTCCCAGAGCGCTTCTCGGGCGCCGAGCGTGGTGGCCGGTGTTTAACCCGTCTTAATCGCTTTCCATCTTCAGCACAAAACTCCTGCTGGTCCCATTTCACAGAGGAAGACATGGAGGCACCCGGAGGAGAAATCAGACCTCTGCGGTCACTGGGCAAGGAGGCCTGGCTCTCTATTGCAGGGCGACATCGTCTCTACAGCCACACAGCCACGTGGTCATCTGTCTGTCTGTCTCTTTGCTCCCGTGTCAGAGGGCACGAAAAGCCTGGGGGGCCCTGGCTGCCTTTGACAAGCTGCCTCTACACGGGGCTCTGGGCACTTGGGGGGCCGTGCTTGCTTAACACACATGTGGAGCCAGTGAATGGGAATTTGTGTCACAACCCCGCTCCCATGCACAGACACCCTCTAAAGATGAGGAGCGAAGGCGCAGAGAGGGCGAGCCACCAACGAAAAGCTGCACAGCCCCACAGCGGGCAGTGAGACTGGGCTCCCCCGGCCACCCCCCCACTCCACCCTCGCCCAGCCCGTCAGCCCTCCCCCCTTCCCCTCCCCTGGGTGCCCCCTGGAGATCCCCTCAGCTCTGCCCCCAGCAGCCTGCCCTCCCTCCCAGAGCCCCTTCCCGACCCCTAGCCCTTGGTGTCCCCCAGTCTGGTCACCCTCTGCTGTCCTCCAGGGGGAGAAGGGGCCAGACCGGAAGGCTGTGCGTGCCAGGAAATCCCAGCCACGTGAGCAGTTCTGAGCAAGGGCTTCTGAGCAGCTCGTGGCTTTCGGAGAAACTGAAACTTGGCTGGCTGGGGTGGAGTGGTCACTGGGAGTTTAAAAAGCCACCGCTTCCTCGGGGCCCCAGAGGGCACAGGGAGGTCACAGGCACAGCTGCTGCCACCACTGCCACCGCCACCACCACCACCGAGAGACCCCCAGGCCCGGAGAAAGCCTCTGCTCGCCCTGCCATGCCATGCACCTCTGCGGGAGCAATGGGCTGCTGGCCAGCACGGTGGGTACAGGAG